ATAAGCTATGTTTGGGTCGCAGTCGGCGTTAATACGATCGCACGCGAGGTTACGGTTCTTATACATGCAAACGGGTTGACACACTTTACTCGCCTCAGCCCGTATAGTGCCGTCCGGACACTCGCACTCATACGGATGATCCGTAACACTCGTGGGTTCGGTCAACACACAGAGGGCCCGCTTTAAGTCGCAATCGATACGTCCGACGCCTCCCCGTCCGCACACGCCCTGCAATACACACGCAGTCTTGTCGGCGGTCGTGACGTACGGCGCGTCGCACAGACAATACCGGCGTCCAGTGGCGTCGGGTGCGTCCAGTTTGCATCCCAAACAATAGGTGCCCAAAGTGTCTAAACGTTCATGATAAGTGAATAAACAATTTATTAAGTTTTAGCACATAGATAATGTAATAGTTTTTATACAGTTTTACTATTTATATTATGAATTTTATAGTCATGTTCATATAAATTCATTAAACCAGTTCTTACCGGGCATTTTACACTTTTTATCATTATTTACTTCTGTCCATTCAAAGCCTTGAGCGCAGTTAGGATTGCCATCATTATCGCAGTAACAGTTCTGAATTCCTGAGCATTTGACACATTGTTTTCCCGCTTTAAGTACACACGTGTCGCCTACGGGTACGTATGGTTCGCCGCACCGGCACTTATAGCCCCTGACGTATGTGTTGTGATCGCCGCCCGTCTCGTCCACGTCGTCAGTTTCACACATGTGGTGACACGTGTTAAGTGCCGGTGAATCGCATTTCCGCGAAGAGCATGTGGTTTCCGACGGATAAGTTGCTAAATAATGTTAAATATTTAATAAAAATCTTATGAAGTTATTAGTAAAACCTTATTCTTCATGCTTCTGATGCTGTTATGAGTTAATTTATTTATTAAATGTTAAATTTAATCTATGTACAGGGTAATGAATTTATACGGTACACACCTTGGCGTAGGGTTTCAACAAAAGTTGTATTGTGTTGAGTGTACCGTATAAATTAATTATCATATACGTAATAACGTAATACCTAACTATAACATACATAATTAGTCTTTTATATTGACATTTTATTATATATTTCATGGAATAATAATCTATCGCATGTATTTTTATACTTACTTGTGGATGCCTTGAACCCAATAGGGCATGTGCATGTGTATTTTTGTGGATCCAGGAAATCGTGCTGACACATGGCTCGGGGATCGTCACAGGGTTGCTCTCGTGACATATGAGCGAATTTTCTGTCGGCCGGATTGCAAATATCAATCCTGGTGGTTTTGCCAGTCACTGGATCTTTATAATAACCACGTTTGGGACGACATGTGGCCACACCCCCAACTGACATCGGTTCTACACAATACTCGCTAACCTTATCACACCCTTTGGTTAAACATTTTGGTAGTTGTTGGCAGCTATTTAAATAAATTTGATTGGTAAAATATTTTCAAATTGTAAGCAAAATAAATATGCTAATTTATTTTAATCAAAATAAATTCATTGAATATGTAAATGTTATAGTTAAAAACTGCTATTCATTAACTTACTCCATCACTGTTGCATCAGATTCCCAATAGTATATATCATATTGTGGACACTTGCATATGAAACTGTTATTTACTTCATCACGCTCACATTCACCACGTTTAGGATCTTCACTACAGTATTGATTGCCCGTTTTGTTTCCAACCGGTGGTTTCTATTTGACATAAAATTTATTATAATGCTTATTTAAAATAATAAATTTTTATGTTTTGTTGAGGTATTGTAATTTAGATAAGTTTTGTATATAGAGTAGCTTAAAATATTTATTTAATAAATGTCAATTGAATTTTGTTATAATAAACAAAAATAACTTACATTATATGGTTTTGTGCAATAGTCAATTGGATTTCCCAATGTATCTCCAGGACTTTCCATTACTGGTAATATTAGATTTTTTTATTAGGAATGTTAATTATATTTAGTGTTTTCCAAAGTTAACCGGCTAAAAAATTTTAACCGGTTAACCGGGTTAAAGTCAAGGATTTTTTTTGACCGATCGGTTAAAAGTCAAAGCATTTTTTGACCGACGGTTAACCGG